GGCGCCTTGGCAGGGCGGGGGCGCGCTCGCGGGAGCTGCCGGATTAGTTCCAGATGAAAAAGATCTGACCTGGGTTAGGAAAGTTTTCATTTCTTATTCTTGCCGTCTGTCCGCGCCGCGGAGAGGGCTTGTAAGAGCCGGCAGGCAACCGGTAGCGCTTAGCTCTGTGCCCTCCCGAGGACGAGGTGCTTATCATGCCGCTGGTCGCTGGAAGAGCAAATGCTGTTGCGCCCAAATCTGCTACCACCAGCAGAAAAGAGCGGTAGCAGTAGCGGGATGTTGCAAACGTACTTTAAAGACAAATCCTTGGCATGTGAGCTGGAGGTGAGTCTGTTACTAAGCTGAAATCTGGCGGAGCTGCAGCGGAGATCGTTCCCTCTGCAGTATCAGCGCCGATTACAGAATACCAGCACAGCGCTTTACCAGGTTTTGTTACAGAAAGCAAGTCTGTTGCGACTAATACAAGGCTGGCTCTTAAGTCAGGTGAAAGACTCAGGAAAAGAAGAGCGTGATTTGGTGCTCTGACCGTTTAGGGGAGAAACATGAGACTGGAATACTTGAATTACAAGATGAAAGGAACCTAGCAAGATTTTAAGCTTTGGAGATGCCTGTTACTTTCTTCTTTGTATTATGATTTTGTGTTCTGTGTCTTGATACATCTGAAAAAAGGCCTCGGACGGATCTTTCCACCTTCTGCGCAAACCATTGTCTATGGTTTTAAACTATGCTATTAAAGTACTTCTCATAGGCATATTGGGGAGTATTATAGGAAAAACCTTGCCACACCTAAAAGCTATTCTGCTTTATTTCTAATTAACAGGGCAGTGTAAAACAGCTTTCCAAGAAGTGATTAAAGGCCACAGATTGGGTTCTTGATCTTGCACTTTAATAGATCTGACCGCATGAAATAAATGTTGCTATGTTGGTGATGTGATGTTTCCTTAAGTCTGCTTGCAGGATTCAGTTCTCTGGATAAAAGATCCATAGTGCGTGTTTTTCTTGTTTTGTTTTGTCTTTTAACACTGGTTTCTGGGGACCTGCAGTTCTGCTCATCTCATTCTTCTAGTTGCTGACAATCTTTCTTTGACAGCTAATGATACTTTGTTTTTCTTCCAGGTTTTCATTTCCAGTGTGATTTCTCCTCTCTGTGGCAAAGGCTGTCTTTTGAAGCAGCACATTCATTCTCCCCTTCAAGCACCATAAGTCTCATTTGCCAGCTTCAGAACCATGGCAACAGAAGAAAAGAAGCCAGATGCAGAATCCACCAAAACACAATCTACTCCTTCCTCCTCAACCAATCAGAGCAAGGTGTGTGTGGGCCTCTGAACAATATCTTTGTAAATATGCATGGAAACTGTCTACATATTCAAAAGGCAAACTAGAATTAGAGATTTTTAAGAAATTGAATTCTGATAGGAATTAAGAACTTGGGATTTCTGCTACTGCTGTTGAACTGAAAATGTGCTAACGATTTTATGGGAAAGCAGATGAAGTACAACCTCTTTTGTGCTAGGGTATCTTTGTTTCTTCAAGTTCATGCAGAGGAAATACTTTTTGTCCCTTTCAGCATTAGAAATCTAAGGTGTTGGAAGGCCTAGACGTTACTGGAGAATAGGTGAATTTACCGTCTTAGTTGCAGGGTGGAGAAGCAGTCATTGTTTGAGGCCTGTGGATGTTGAAGGGAGTTGTCACTGTTTAACCGCAAAAACTGTGCAAATGGTGAGAAGGGAGAATGTTTGGGGTTTTGGGAATGTGGAAGAATTGGTTTGTGATATGATTCACAAAAAGTTAAAGGACTACAAATATTTAATAGCACTAAGTGTTCTATTTTAATCTGTCAGGCGGTCTGTGATTGGACTGTTGGATTACTCTCGCCTATTTATTATTGGTTTGGATGTAATTCATACCAAAGATGAGTTTGTTGTTGTGCATGTGCAGTGAGGCACTGCTTGCTCCAGGCATCAAGATTTTTGTCTGAATTTGGAGAGGGGAAAATGTAAACAGTAGAATCTATTATGGTGACTATTCATGCAGTCTGATACTGTGTAGTGACCTGGTCTAATACAGAACTTGTCATTGAGATATTCAGTTTGGTATTTATACGACTCATTCATGTATGTATGTGTGTGTCTGCGTGTGTGTGTGTATATATATATATATATATTTTTTTTTTTTTTACAGCCTGCACCAGTAAAACCAAACTATGCTCTAAAGTTCACGTTAGCAGGACATACAAAGGCAGTCTCGTCAGTAAAATTTAGTCCTAATGGAGAGTGGCTAGCCAGCTCTTGTAAGTTTTGTTTTTTTAATATGTTGTCCAAAATATGCAAATATAAGCCTTAAAGAACTGTCAGTCTTTAATGTTACTTTGATCAGATGGAGGAGAGACGAGGCGTTACAGCTTTTCTTAAAAGGATCAATGGCAAAGCTGTCAATCTTTGGGTTGACCTCCTTTTAAATCTTTTAAATTCTGTTACTTTGAACCTTGGATCTTCTGTGCCTTGCTAAGTCAGAGAGTCCTAGCCTGGTCAACTTCCTTTACTGAGCCAATGGGCAAAAACAGACACAGGCTTTGCTTCCTCAGCCAAGGAAACTCCACGTGCTTTTCTGCGTCACCAAAGATGTAGCTTAAGCTTTTAAATTAAACTTTGTTTGCAGGACCTGCAGGCAAAAACTGAGCTCTGGGAAAAGATGACTGTTGAGCATTATAAATTAAATTGTTGAAGACAGTCCTGGGATGTTAACTGTTGAAGACAGCTTTGCGCTACTAGAGTGGATTGTAGAATATGGTATGGAGGAGCAGCCCTTGTTTCTGTCTAGTATATCTGTAGCGTTTTATGAGTCAGAGCCTTCGATAAGTCTAGTGAAATGTGTAGGTTATTGAAGTAGTGTTTCTCTGCTTGTTCCTTAGGTGGTAGATCAAATTCTCTTCCTGTCAACTTTGGTATTTCTTGATTTTTTTTCTGTGGTAAACATTGCTTGACAGCTTTCTTTTGAAAATCTGTTTATGTGACCATCAGTGATCCAGAGAGGATCCATATGAAAGGAAAGGGCAATCAGTAGCGCATTGTTGAATACGATGGTGAGAACCACTTGAACATCTCTCAGACATGGCAGGCACTTAGGTCATTGGCCTTACCATAGATTGCCTTAATAAGGCCACTGCACCATACATAAATAGTTGATTCATGCAGTTATCCTCATGAAAGTCTCTTCTTCTTTCCAACATCTGCATCTGGCAAATATCAACCCTTTTTCTCTGACCTGGTTTACAAGTTAGCACAATCATAGATAAAGTGTTTGGGTTTTTGCAGTCATTGGTTCAACTCAGGTTGTAGTGTAATTTTTGTTCTTGGAAAAAAGTGTTCCAGTATTTCTCATGGGATGATACTGCTTCTACCACTGGCAGTCTAAAACAAAAGTAGAAACCCAAACTGTCATCAGAGAAACTAAAACAGCTGGAGACTCTTTACATTCCAGGCAGTTTGTGTAATCTCTGCTGCCTCAGCTTGACATGCGCAAAACTATTCTTTACTATTTACATATTGCCTTCTGGACTGAGATCTGCTTGGGGAGGAAAAACTACCCAGTGTTTTCAGGGAAGCAGTTAACATATTTCTTTCCACCTGGGGAGGACAGCTGCATCTCTCAGTGCTGTTAGTCTGTTAACTGGCACTTTCTTTTCCAGCTGCTGACAAGCTCATAAAAATTTGGGGAGCGTATGATGGCAAGTTTGAAAAAACAATATCTGGTCATAAACTGGTAAGTGTGAAGAGATTCCTATGCATTTGAATACAATTTTACTTGTCATTTATTTTGCTTTTTTTTTTCCTTCATTCAGAAATCTGCATTCATAGTTAGC